TCGATAATAAAATTGTAAGTCCACATGTCAAAATTAAATAGTTAATATTGTCTTTCTTTTTCAGCTGGAGGTTCTCTTCCATATAGTATGCAAACTGCACAAAAGCAGCTTTGGCTACACTCTTATTTCCAGTAAGTAAAAATGCTGTCTTTATGGTTAGTATTTTAAAATAAAGATGTAATCAAAATTTAAAGACTAACACTTACTGTGCCTTATTTTTGTAAAATGTTTTAGAAAGATTAGTATTAGAATAAGTATTAGTTTAAAATGTTCATCATAAAAATCCAACAGAGATTATATAAATTGAGTTTCAGGTGTCTTGTAATTATTAGCCATTTTTAAATGGCTTAGTTATATGCCTATCAAATTGATTTTCCAAAAATGAAACCTAATAGACACCTCATATTTCAAACTAACCCATAGTGGGAAAGATTAGTTATTTTTCTCTTGTGTACGGTAGTTTTGAAAATTCCCTCTAAGTTTATGAAAAGCTGCAAATTGAACATAATTAATCTAGCCATAGCAGAACAAAATATGTCCAGAGATTAAATGCCAACATATGCATATGTCAAAAAAGTTACATTTTTTTCTTTTCCATATGTATCCCTATTGGATTCATATACATCCATTCATGTATGTTATACTTCTCAACATTTAAGTATGGCTTTAGGTGTAAAGTATGAACAGTTAAACTGAGAAAGGGAAGCTAAAAAACATGAGTACAATGTTTTCTGTGTTTCTATTTAATCCTAATCTATAATGACTGGAATTATTGTAGATTACAGTTTTGCATGTCTAAATCAGCCTTCCCCAAACTGGTACTATTCCATGCTGAGTGGAATAGTTCCACTCAAAGTTTAAATCCCAATGTACTTGGAGTACTGGAGCATTGTCAGGTTGCAGGAAATTGACCCAAACTATAACTGAAACAGTATCTTGTCTTTTCTATCAATTGGTGGAATATTTATTTATATTACTTTACTATAACTGTGTACTTGAAATAAACCAGATTCTTCAAATGTGTTATGTTTCCCATTATCCCTTGCCATCAGGAATGAACCTTTTTAGTAGGGGTGGGTAGAAGCTATTAACCATTACAGCTTAAAGTCACCAAACTAGAATATTTCAAGTAACATTCAGTTTAAAAAAAGGAGGAATAAAATACTTCTGGCTATGGATATGACATCCTAGGAATTAGAATCTGAAAAACTCCTTTCTTTTGTTTTAACCCAAGCAAATGGTCAGCTGAAACTTCAGGTCGTAGTCATGCAATGCCACATATTAAAACTTACATGAGAGTATCCCTGGATTTCCAGAAGATTGCATGGTTTCTAGTGACAAGGTAAGTCTTTTACAAGTAGTCTTCAGCTTATAATTGGGACTGGAATTTTCATCACAGAGCCATACAGTCATAAAGCAAGATGTCATGTGACTGCATTGCTTAGCAGCCACAATCCCAACAATTCTCCTTGGCATCTGGCACAGAGAATTTCAGGCACAGTTTGGAGAACAGTGCAAGAGGCCTGGGAAGAAGAGCTGGAACAGTCAGCAGCTGGGTGCAGCAATTGTCAGCAATGGGAGGAATATGGTGAAGATCAGCTGGGCACAGCAGACTGCAGAAAGTGGAGCGGGGCTGATTTGCACTGAGGTGGCTGGCCATGATGTGGTTACTAATAGAGGCTGCACCGAAACTGAAATAGAAGTGGCAGCTGCTGAAGGTCCTGGGCCTCTAGTTCTACCACAGCACTGCCTCCATCAAGGAATGCCACTATGGTAGAGGGAGTTGAAGCACCCTTATGATTGTAAATGCAAGTAGACTGCCAAACACCCAAATTTTGATCACATGTCTGTTACAACAGCTGTAATTTCAAGCACAGGTTGTGAGTCCCTTTGTTTGCAACAAATATTCTTAAGTCAAGGACCACGTATATGGTTTTTTTTTCCTATTTTTTCTCTCTCCAAATTCTTGCATTCTGTGCATAAACAGAACTTGTTTCTTCTCATTTTTGTTTATGCCTGCTTAGTGCCAATCTTTCCAAGGCTGCTTGGGGAGCTTTTGAGAAAAATGGCACCCAGCTGATGATCCGATCATATGAACTAGGAGTTCTGTTCCTGCCTTCAGAGTTCGTAAGTTCATTTTAATCCTACACTGCAATGAATGCAAACACAGCCAATTTGCTTTTTTTAATCCACTGCTCAAGAATGTCAGAAATGTATTTGCATAAGAAAGTAAAAAAGAAAAGTATGTGTAGCTCAGTTCCAAAGAAAATGATTAGTTACTCAATATTATGTAGGTTCATTTAATGGCTGTATTATGCAAAACTACATTGTACTTTAATAATAGAAAATGAGGCTTATCTGAATCACCAATTTGTTCATATCTCCCAGTCATCTAATCACTCTTCATCCTTTATTCAGAAGGATAATATTTTTTTCTGGACAGTGACTACACTTCAATCTTAAAAATAAATTGTGGGTGCTTTGAGGACTGCAATCAAATGTCCAGTGGTGTCATTACAGACATAACCTTTCAGCCTTTTATTTGAGAAGACAAAGGTGGATGAAGCAAAAATAATAAAATGACACACTGCAAAAATCTTCTTGCAAATTGATTATACAACCTGGGATACTCCAGATGTGAAAATATACCCAGTTGCATCTTCTTGTCCAGTAGCAGTACTATCCAATACTGTGCTGTCTCTTGGGAAATGTCATTAACTGTGATCATGGAAATAAACCTTTTTGTTTATCTTATGGAAGTTTATACAATCCCAAGCAACAATTTGATGCTTTTCAAAGGTTTTGGTTATAATACTCAGAATTCCTTGATACAGGCTATAATGGTAGTGAATGTTACAAACTGTGTTAAAATGTCCTAAGCAAGGCAGGTTGCCAATCGCTTCTTTAATCTTTTCAGTTCCTGCATAAAATATAAAGCTTCTTTTTTGCTTAATAGCTTTGCTTAATATGTACTTCTATTATTTGTAGGGTGTAACACATATGGTACTACATGCAAGTAAAACGTTGGATATTAAGTATTCTCTTTTAGTTATTTATTTAGAAAAGCATAAGACAACCACTTAGGGTAATATGTATTAAAAGAAAATCATAAAATATAGTTTTTTAAAAACCCAAATCTGGAAGAAAAACAACCAGTAAAAAGTAGTCAAACATGCAGGACCCATCATCCCAGCCTTTGGAGATCTAGATTTTAAAAGCTTTTTTACATACGACCAGCATGGGTATCGACTGTATCTCTGTTGAGATTATATTTATTATCCAAGAATTCTGTGTTTCCTTAATGGTATTTTAAGCATGAATACAGGATACATCATTTTCAGTCTTGAAAACCACTCTACATTCATTATTTAATGGAATTAACCTACAGTATGATGTAGGAAATTTCTTCATTTCAAATTAAGAAAGTTAAGTTGTTTTCTTGAAGTGTTGCTTAGTTTAAAGAAAATAATTACTGAGTAATAGATTATCTGCTTTTAATTGTGGCTGATTGTTTATACATTATTTGATTATGGTTGCTATTTAGACAATCTACCTAATAGACACACATTGGTAGCATTTTACTAACAGCACCATATTACTGTATTTGTTTTTGAATTTTGGTTGAATGCAAAACTCTTTTTTAGGGCTTGAATACAGGATATTTCCAAGTAAAGGAAAGCATGTTTGCTAATACATCAATATTGTCATTTCCTGTTCCTTATGATCTGCCCCCTGAAAAGTATGAAAACAAAGGTAAAGCATTCTTCTATATAATTATTTTTTCTGCATATAAGTAAAATTAATCCACTTGAATGAATGTAAAACCATTTAAAATAATAAAGAACATGCAGTTGTAGATTACTGGAAAAAGAGATAACTCCATATGACAGCTGCTTAAGTTACAATTGTGATAAGGTTCTGTTTTCAAATCCAGCTGAACCCTGAAACTTGCATATCATTACCCCTTTGCCAGTGTTTTTACAAGCTTTTTGGAATACAGCTTGAATAAATACAGAATACTGCTTCAAGTATTAAGATTATCAGTTGTTATTATTCATTTGTGTAATGATACCGCTATTGAACATACCACATTTCACTTGCACTTTACTATAATTATCTTGCAAATCAACAATCAGCATCCCATTACTACATTCAGTGCACAAATATGTTCCTGTTATTGAACTGCAGCTTCTCCTGTATGTAACAAACTATAGGCTTATTTTGTAGTTCCTTTCAAATTCAGTGGGATTTTAAAATATCATTGTGAGTAACAGAATTGATGAGCTTTAAATGTTAATAAATGGAAATGGAAGATCCTTTAGGCTCTCTGGAACATTATTTTCAAAGGCTTTAATACAGACATTCCTCTTCTTATTCATCATATTTGTTTTCTAAATAAGCACACACAGTAGTCGAAGGGTCATATTATTAATTTATCCTACAGTAGACTTATCTTTTTTTTTTAAACAAGTTTTATTGATTTTACAAACAAACAAACAAAACAAAACATCATTAAACATTAAAAACATAAAACCTCTTTCCATTGTAGATCTTTACAAGGCAGGTAACATATTGCTTTATATCACGTACTTATAATTTATCCCATTTCCATATAAACACATAAATTCCCTTTACCAAATTCCACATTGTTTCTCTTTAATCATTATTCAATCATATTTCCTTTCTAATTTATCTGGTATTCAGTCATCACATTTATATTTTCCTCTGGCTTGTTTATAATTATTCTCATCTAGTCTTCCTCCGAGATTTTATTATTTAATTCTTAATTAAACACACAGACATAAGACATAAACATAAAAACATAAAACTTTCTTCTAGAAAGTAACTTGGCCCCAGATTACCTCTTTTTGTATGGACTTCAATTGAATTCATGCTCTTCTTATATACCATTACCCTTCTTATTTACCATTCTATATCTATTATATAACTCCTCTCCACTTTTGCCTCATCTTAATTCTGTTTTATATATTTAATCTTGCTTTAAAGAAAAATATTTTTATATCTTTTGTCCATTTCTCCATTTACATCTGTCTCATTTCCAATTTGAAAAAGAATAGTTTCCCCTGGAATCACTAATCGGAGTATGATGCCTTTCTATCATTCCCCTGAATTAAAATTTAAAATAACACCTAAATCCCAATCAGATTCTGCTTAGTACATTCTACTATTTCAGAAACCAATACTACAATAATAAATCCATAACAGTCAACACATTAGTCCATTAAACTCTATATTTAAACTAATATTTTATACATTCCCTTTAGTATTTTATTAAAACTTAATATCATTCATTATTAAACCTTTTAAAGTTATACCTTGATATTTTAGTCTTTTATTAGATCTTAAAAAGTTCTGATTATCTACTTATAATACAAATACCACTATTACAATACTCATGTGTACTTTGCAGAATCCCCCTTTTTTTTTAAAAAAAAATCCCTTATATTACCCATTATCCCTAAAAAAAATTTTCCTTTTCTCTATCTTGTTTTATACCTTTGTAACTTTTTTCCCCCTTTTCCCTTTCCTTGTTAGCCCGCCTAAACTTTTTACCCCCTCCTCTCCAAACCTCTGCCTTCTTGATTTCCCCTTTCTGTTGCATTCCTCTTTCCTTTTGCTTTCTAGCATTCTGTTGTTTTTGCATCTTCTTTTTCTCTTTCATAAACATTTTTTTATTTCTTAAGTCCTTCCTTTTCGCTCCTCTCTTTCTCCTTTCTTTCTTAGTCACACCGTTTAGTTCATTAAAAATGGCTTCTTCTTCCTCGGCTTCTTCCAGCTGTTGTTTAATTTGCTGACACATGACAAGCGCCATATCTAGGAAACAAAGGGCTTCTCCCATAACATCTTTGCCTTCTTTCTTTATTTTTAAATATTGTTTTTTTAGTTCATGAAGAGATAGAGCCATTTTAAACTGTTTCTTCTTCTCTTTCTGTATCCTCTTCTTATTATTAAACCAATCAGTTATTTCCAAACTTAAAATAGTTCCCAAAAGTCCCAAAGTCCCACAGTCATCAAACAGTCAAGGCAGAGTACAAGCTTCTTCTTTTTACAATTTCTCTTCTAGGGGTGAAGTCAAATTAGGGAAAGAAAAAACGTCCAATCTGTGCTTTAAGTCTTTCTTAGAATTAATTTCTATTCTCTTTATCTTCAAGGCATCTCCTCCAGCAAAGTCTTAGAGTAAAAATTTGTTTTCCCATGCCTCTCCCTTCCCACTTATAACAAAGGAGTTTAGGTTTTACCTTCTATCAAAAGGCTGGTTTCCCTTATCCATTTGTTAATTCCATAAGGGAGGGAGAGTAACTTCCCCTTTTCGTCACTTTTCTTTGCAGCTGAAAACATCAATCGGGAACATTATAGCTTCCAAGCCAATACTTTCCCAGGTGTTAAATATGTCATTAAGGTCCCAGTTCGACCAAGAAAAGACTTTCGTTTCAAAACTCCTTCTTCCTCCTGCACATTCTTTATCCAGTTGCCGGCTTCTTTATGGCGGCCATAAAAACCGCCGCTTCACTGTCTTGAGAGAAGGGGGTTATTGCCGGCTGGGGGGTTTGCGATAGCCCACACCCCCTGTCCGGATCCCCCCTTTCTTCAGCTGCCCCAACAGGACAGCCTTAGCCTCCAAATCTGTCAGGATCGGAGGCACCAAGGCGGCTAGCACAGCAGGGATCGCAGAGAAGGCGAATCCCTGCTGTCACCGAAGCCGACAAACCGGAAGTCTGAGTAGACTCTTATATATATATTATATATATATATATATATGAGAGAGAGAGAGAATAAGCCTAAATAAATTAGAGCCCCTCCAATCTCAACACATCCTGAACACAAACATGTAAATGAACAAAACCACCCAACAGGTGCTCAAAACATTATCCTGCCCAAGAAGTGGGAGAATGGCCATATATTTATAGCTTTCTGAAAATCATCAGGATAGGAGACATTTGGATCTCTGGAAGAATATTGGTCCAAAGGGCAGGTGCTGCAGCTGAAAAGGCATATTTCCGGACTCCTACTGCTTAACCAATAAGATCTGAAATGTGCCCACCCTACCGGATCTCAGCAGACACACAACCAGATAGAGGAAGTTCCTCAAATAACCAGGATCAGTGCCATGAAGGTCTTTTATAGGCAATATCTAAATTGCACCTAGAAGCCAAACACTAACCAGTGCTGCTCACAAATCAATGGAGTCACATAAATCCAATGAAGCATGCCCATCATTGCCTGTAACTCTGCATTTTGAACCAGTATAGACTCCCAGTCATCTTTAAGGACAGCCCTGTGTTGAGCACATTTGTTAATCTGTTCCGTGACGTGACTAAAGCGTAACTGTTAGAAGGGCCTCCCAGTCCAGAAAAGAATGCAACTGTAACGCTAGATGTATCTATGCAAAGGCCCTCTTGGTCACAGCTGTCACTTGCTACCTGAATATGAGCAGTGAGTCCAGAAGAAACCCAGATTTCATGCCACTTTTGTATGCAACTCTATTTAAGACCAAATATAACCAAAGAACCCTTGATTCTTTAATTACTTTTAGGGTTATTATATATAACATAGCTTACTACTTAAAGATGGTTTAAAAGAGTTTATTTTGTGTTATGAAGTAGAAGTTTAAAAGCTAATTATAGTTCAAGTAAAACTTATTCATAAACATTTCTATAGTTTCAAAGTAGCAATACTGAATTATTTAAGATTAACTGGTGGGTTAGAAAATGGCTAGATTTTAAATGGCTAGATTTTATATAAAGAATCTAATTTAATTTTTCTCAGTTCATCTTTGTCTGTGGTATAAGTCCTTTTTATTTGCTTTGCAGACCGTCCATGGATTTGGAATATTCCTTACACCAAAGCTCCCGATACACATGGCAATATGTGGGTTCCGAAATGAATAGTTTAAAGTAATTCTGAATCTTTACTCGGAATCATTTGAATACCTGTAAGATTTTATGCTTTATATCTGTACATTTTATTATATATCTGTACACTTGGAAAAAAATTTTTTAAATAAAATAAATATTACAGCATTTTTGAAAAAAATAACCGCTTTGAAGATTAACAGTGCTAAATCTCATAATAAATCATACTTTGAAATTACATGTATTTAGACAGTCATTGTTTAGTGACCATAATTGGGATTAGCAACTCAGTCATTAAGCGAAGTAGTCACTAAATGAAATAGCTAATATTCTTTTGATCTTACTTCATCTTTCCTTTGCTTTACAGCCCTGCCAACTCAAATATGAGGATTATTACATAATATTTTTCATCACTGTCGTAACTGTCTGGTCACTAAATGAGGCAAATGCTAAACAAGTTCCACCTGTAAATTAGAAAATTTAGAAATGGCCATGTCAGATAGTTGTCTTTTTTAGCCACAATAACTTTAATCTTTTTGGGGAGTTTTGTGAAATTTTCAACGTGATAAAAGAGAAAATTTATAAAAAATTGAAATAAAGTATCCAGCTGTTAGCAATGAAAAATGAGCATTTGGTATATTTTAATATTACTGTGTTTGTGAGTTACTTAGACAAGTCAATAATAGAGCAAGAAACATTCAAGTCACTGGGATTGCTCATGAATACATCACATAATTGATTCAAGATATTCAACTATATTAGAATTTTTGAGGGGGGGGAAACAGTACTTTCTTTTGGCAGTATTTTGCTTTTATAACATTGAACTTTATGGTAAATATTAAACAAATTTTGGAGATTCAGTGAATCTTCAGATACTACATGTGGCATTTAAAAAAAATTGTTTCCATAACAACTTAGAATTCATAAAAATCTGAAATCTGAAAACCTTCAAGTTTAGTGTAATTTACACTAAGGTAGTTAAATCATTTAGAATAAGAGTTTATGGAACTTACAAATGCTGTGCTGTACTCAGAGAAAAAAAAAGAACCATAAAATACTCCCATTATATTTCAATAACCAATGTTTGGGGGAAAACATTATAGAAAAAATCATTTAAGTAGCAAATAACAGACTGTAGATGAGTTGGAGATTATAATATTATAAATGTATTTTATACGTGTATATTACTTTCCTTTTTTGTTTCTGCTTTTCCTGTTTTTGTATGTAATAACTAATGTTTGAGCTGTTTGATACTGGGGAAAGTTGAACATTAAGTGTACAGATCATTGTGATATGTAAAAATGGGTAGGACTTCAGTCATATCGATGTGACCACCCCTTGACTTATTGCAAATACCCGCTGCATAGATCTTCTAATCAAAGCCCAAGGTTTGAATACTTTGCTATTTACATTAATGCAGAAAACTATTCTTCTCGTTACTATCTTTACAATTGTTAAAGCATTTTTATTTTAAGAATTTATATTAATGGAAAATAAAAATATCATTTGCGATAGTGTCGAGTATTGCCTAGCAATAGAAAATTAAGCATTTTTTCAGCTATTTTCCTTGAATTTTATTCAGGCAGTAATTTATTTAAATAAATTATAACTTTGTTGGTTCTAATAAATCCCTCCTAACAGATCTCTTTATGTATCTAAGGTGTTTAACAGGTTTTTATATGAAGACAGTTCTCATCTTCTCAACACACTATTCTTATATTTAATCTGAGCTTTCCCAACAGTTGCCAAGGATTACAGAAAAAAACTTTGTTAAACTCCTCTTTTCCATTTATAAAAGTATCTTCTAAGAGTTTACAGGAATTTCTAATCTAATTCTGCTAATGTGCCACCTAACAAAGGTTTGATCTCTAAAGAAGCACTCTTACTTGCTCATCTGTATTGTGCCTTCAGGAGCAGAGTTGGTGAGAATAGGGTTTGGATCCCTAATCACAGAAATCTAAGCTATCAAAGATTTCAGGCTCTCAAGTCTTGTTCATTTAAATTTTCACTTTGAATAGTCACAGAGACATCAGAGTATTTGCATCAAGGGCAGAGGTAGCAATGAAGAAGGCAGAAGGAACAATTGTCACAGCCTCCTACTCCCATTCTTTTTGCTTTAGTAATAGCCATGAGTAACTACTTGAAGATAATCCTGATAATTCCAGAGGAGGAGGACATGAATTAGGTGGCAAATTTTCAAGTTCTTGTCTGCTTTCTCTATGGCAAAAGAGATGGTGATCAAATAATCAAGAGTGGGAGTTTGGATATTTTGTAAATTGATTCTCTCATAATGGCCAGAGAGTTGAGCAAAAGAAAGAAATCTGAATCACCCAATGTCAAAATAGAGGACCCATAGCTGCTATTTAGATGCTTCTGGGTGGGTAGCAATCCTCCCTTTTTAATCTAATGTGCTACACTTAAATGGCAAAGGAATGGAAGTGAGATTGTTTTCAACTCTGTTCTTCAGTCATCAACATAAAAAAGAAATTGATAGTATGAAGCATACTTTATGCACACATATTCTAAATCCCAGGTTGCCAGGTATAATGGATAGAATGATCTGAGAAACAGGAGGAAGAGCTGCAACCAAGGCAACAATCAGATAAAAGAAATGTGAGTCCAGGCCAGAATTGTACCGAGTAAGGATCTCAGACAAGAACCTCTCCAGTTCTCATGAAGACAAAGGGAGAGGGGAAAGTGCATTCATTGCAAGGTTCTGTTACTATACAACCTTATAATAAAAGTAGTATGGGTATGAGCATGTGTGCTTTGGTTTCCTAGTCTGGTATATCTTGAAGACTGACACAAGGACCCATTAATCTACTATTGGAGTCAATCCTCTCTGTCAAAAGCTTGCTGGTCTTAATTCTGAAACATTCAGAGCCCCAAAGAAGTTGGTAAGCTAGAATTATTTAGTGAGAACAATCAGCATAAATCGGCCAGTTTCCAAAAGACAACCAGAACTACTGTATCCCTGAAAGGAAATTGCTGGATGAGGCTGGAGGAGACCTTGATGAGTGGAAGAAGAAACAAGGTAGCTGCTCTGCTTTTTTTAATCTGAAGAAAATGGGAAATAAAATGTTTCTTGATCTGTTTCTTGCAGATCAATCTGTTCTAAATTCAGTTAAACCAGAAAATTCAAGACTAAAGCAAGGAAGCATCAGATACCTGGCACACTTCCTTTTTTAATTTTGGTTCCTTGCAAAGAGAAAGGATTAAGATAAAGCATGCCTAGCACCTCGAGAGATACAGGTAATCCTCAATAGTTCATTTAGTTACAACAGCACTGAAAGAGACTTAATGACCATTTTTCACATGACCCTTGCAGCATCCCCATGGTCACATGATCAAAATTCAGATACTTGGCAACTAGTTCCTATTTATGAGAGGTGCAGTGTCCTAGGGTCATGTGTGATCTGCTTTTAAGACCTGACAAGCAAAATCAATGGCAAATCCAGATTCACTTAACAACCACGTTACTAACTGAAATGCAATGATTCACTTTACAACTGTGGCAAGAAAAGTCGTACAATGGGGCAAACTCACTTAACAAATGTTTCACTTAGCAACATAAATTTTGGGCTCAATTATAGCAGTAAACTAGAGGACTATCTGTATTCTTCACAAACAGGATTGTTCGTTTCTGAACGATTATTACCTAAACTGGACCTTGGGAATTCACTTCATGTGGTTGTAGCCCTAAACGCTACAAATACAGCCCCACTTCCAGATTTTCTCGCCCAGTTTCCCCGGAACGACAGTCCGATCAACCACAACTTCCGAAGCTCTTCTCCCGCCAAGCGCCACAGCCAGGCTCACCGCAAATCTCTCAACGTCTTTCCTTGAAGCAGGTCGTAGAGGCGGAGGTGCGGGCACACGCTACGCAGGAAGCGAAAGACCCGCGCTCTGACTCTCCGACAGATTTGGGAGCGTTTTAACGCCCTGCCCACGCGCGGTTGTCCAAAGAGTCCGGGCGAGAAACGACCCCTTGCGGACCACGTTGATTTCCTGGCGAAGAAGAGTCGCACCGCACGTGGCAAAGGGCGCGCGCTTTGGGTGCTTTTAACGACCTGGTATATGGGGGTGGGGTTGAGGCCCTGACGCCCGGTAATGGTGAGGTCTGACTGACAGGCTTCATTCAGTCCCGCGCGCTTCCTAGGAGAAAGAACATCGAGGAGCCCGAGTTTCGTCGACGGGGGGGACGGCTCGGCGATCGAACGAAGGAAGCTGCTCCGCGCGATCCTAAGTGACGCGCCGTGGGAACTGGCTGCCCATCCTCTGTGGGATTTGGCCGTAGGGGTGTGGCGTTGGGGGTCCGCGCTTTGCCCTCTTGCCCCTTCTTGAGCGGGGGAAGTACTTGGAAGGGTGCCCGGGCTTGGATCTGCCCCCCCCTTCCAGAGCTGCGGAACCCTACCCGCCGCCACGGACTCAGCTGCCGTCTGCCTCGAGGGGGCGCGAGGAGAATGAGCCGTTGAGGGGAGCTGGGAATCGGGCTGACCTCCGGGGGCACCCGGCGGGCAGAAAGGGATGGCTTGTCGCGGTCTCTGCTCCTGTTCTTCGCCCACCTTTGGCAACCTCAGCGAAGACACCGCCCGGTTCCTGCTCCTGGCTGTTCTGATTATTTTGTACATGGGTTGCGGAGCTGCCATCTTCTCCGTCATTGAGCGACCCTCCGAGTTGGAAACCCTTCAGAAGTGGCAGATGAAGATTGAAAACTTCTCCCAGAAGTACAACCTGGCTTTGGCGGAGCTGAGGGATTTTCTGTTTGAGTACGAGTCCGCCTACCTGATAGGTGTCCGGGTCAACACAACGCGGCCCCAGTGGGACTTGATAGGGGCTTTTTTTTTTGTAGGCACCGTGGTTTCTACTGTAGGTAAGTGACGAAACCGTCCAAACGCTTCTGCAGTTTCTCTGCCTTACACCCTTTGGATCTTGTACTTTTCCAGCTCAAAAAATAACTACCATTCACAAGAGAAGGACAAAGCATGAATATATTTTCCATGATCGACATTAGTACTGGAAGGTAAAGCTTGTATGGCTTGTATATTTGTATATGTAACTTGTGAAATGGCTTAGAAGTAAGTACCTAGTAAGTGACTAAAATGTGCTTCTCAAAGTCACAAGGTATTTTAGAAGCACGACAGATTTCTTTCCATAGGGCACATTTGTGTGAACTTCACTATGGAAAGCCAAATTTATTCCACACAGTACTGAGAGCAATAAGCAAGTTACTCTTCCTTCATGCTTTTCCCACTAGTTTGCTGTATTTTCAATTTTATAACATGTCTTTAAGAATCTCTGAACATGTTATGAAGTTCATACTGGTTTTTGCCCACTTTAATCTTATATGTTCTTGAATATCTCAGTTTGCCATCCTTCTAAATGGCAACACAATTAGCAGTGTTCTTTCTCACATAGACATGAATTAAATACCCAAAGGTATCACTATTATCTCATCAAGTTTTCGTTTCCTCCCACACAATCATTTAAAAACATTTTTTCATGAGAAATAGTATCACAAAAGAACAAGCAATGGTGTTATCTGTACTGAGGAGTCTTTATAATAACTGCATTTAGCAGGTGTAAATTGGCTTTTAAGATGCCCAAATTGTACAGTTTTCTTTTGACAGTGATTGAGTGAATTAATATGTAGTAGGTTTTTGTGTTGTTTTTGCTGCCTTCAAGGCACCAAATTAAATCATGGTGACTGCCTAGACTAATTCCTGCAGTTTTATTAGTAAGGTTTTACAAGTAGTTCCTCACTGCTTTCTTTGTAGGGCTGAGAGAGGGACCAGCCCCAGGGAACTCACCTGAGTTTGTGCTTAAGGCAGAAGTAAAACTGATAGGTCTCCCATTTCTAGCATGGGGCTTTAACAACTGGCTCTGTTGTACGTAGTGTAAATTTCATGTTATCTCCCAAATTATTTACATTTGGACATGCTGAAGGAATGCTGCTAAACTATTGGGTTGCTTTCAACTACAAAAACAATGTATGCTTTGGGGGGACATTGATATAGCTGTGGATATAAAAATATAAAGCCCCCTATTGACCAGAATATAAACTCCATGCTGTAATACAAAGGATAATTGCCCAGGGCTTGTATTTAATGGGTGACAGTTTATATATACAGTGTACCTGTTTATGACAGCAGTCAGTCAGCTGTGGGTTTTTTTCAATATATTCCAATTAGTTTTTGCCCCCATCAACAGTTAGAGCATCTTCAGTATTAATTGGTTCAATTAGGTTTCTCTCTTTCTACTTTTTCTTTTTGGGAAACCTTTGGAATTTTTTTATCTCTGGGCAATTTTTGTATTTTAGCTACAAAGAATAAATGACCACTAATTATACAACTATGATGAATTTGAACCTTGAAGTTAGAGATGGAGTTGTCACTTCATTACAGTAATTGGAAGCTTTCAGAATGGGTCTGTAGTTCCCT